GAGCTCCACTGAGCTGCTCCGGCCCCCCTGGCAAGCGAGGATCCGTGCCCGGGAAGCCTCGTCCATCAGCGCTGTGTGTGTGCCCCGTGTGTGCCCCGGTGCGCAGGGACCGCCGAGAGCCGGGAGCTGCAGAAGGAGAAAAAAGCGTCTGGGGAAGGCTCCCGGCAGCACCGAAAGCGAGATCCCCGGGCAGTGCGGGGCCCGCAGGGCGCTGTTGCCCCGCTTCTGTGTCCTGTGCACTCCCCTTTCCCTCCTCTTTCCATCCCCTTTCCCACACCGCTGCGTTTTCTCTCTTCTCCCCTCTACCTGCTTTTTCCATCTCTCTGGAACCAGCCCCCTGTCCCCGTCTCTCATGTGCTTCCTCTCTCTACCTGAAACTGGTTTCTCATTCTCCATCTCTCTCCGTCCAGCTCCCGGCTGCCATTTTTCCATTCCTCCCTGCCTGTGTCGGTATTTCTGCTTTGTCTCTCTCTATCTGGCATCTTGTCACCGTTATCAAGGTCTTCTTTCTGGACCCTGTAGTGTGTCACGAGGGTCTTTCTTTCTCCATCTTTCTTGACCCTGTACCCTGTCTCTCACTTTGAATTCCTCTCTCTCTTCCCTGTCACCCGTAGCCCTCGGCTGTGCAAAGAGAAGACCCTGAGCCTGGTCAAGCTGTCTGTCAGCTCTTGACACACGTGGCCTTGGAGCGGTGAAGCTCGTTCCAAGGTGAGGTGGTTGCTGGCTGAGTCGATGTCGCAGGGCAAAATCTCCCTGCGGCACCTTCGGGAAGCGTTTCTCCCGGGCTTTGCAGGCCCTCTGTGGGCAGCTCTTGGAATTGGAGGAGCATTTGAGGTGAGCTGTGCAGCAGCGAGGAGGAGGTGGTGGGGGCTGGTGATTTCTCACAAGTGCAGCGATAGTTTTCTCTCTCTGAGTATCTTTAGCGCCAGAAGCCACGACGGCTGCAGCGACCGACACCGGAATCGATGCAGAACAGGTGAGTGGAAGGTTTTTGAGGTGCTTCTCAGGCAGGAGTTGTGGAAGGGTTTGTGCCCACCGATGTGATGCTGACTGCTGGCACTGGGGTTTTTTTCAGGTGATGAAGAAGAACCTGAAAACCGCAGGAATATCCCAGCTGCAGCTTCTGTCGAGGATGGATTCAGACCCGTGGCCCTCTGAAAGCTCCATCGAGGGACCAAGGACAGAAAACATGGAGGCAGAGTGGAGAAACTTGGAAATAAAGGGGAAAAACTTGGATGAGAAAAAGCTGAAATGAAGGGAAACTGGGAAATAAAAAGTGGAAAGCCTTGGAAATAAACGGGAGAACTTGGAAATAAAAAGAGGAAACTGAGAAAAAAATCGGAACTCTAGAAAATAAAGGAGAAAAGATGGGGGGGAAAGTGTAAAACTTGGAACTAAAGGGGGAAATGGGTATTGGAGGGAGAACAATGGGAAATGAAGGGCAAAAGTGGGAAACAGGGGGTGAAAACTACATAATAAAGGGCAAAACTTCATAGGGAAAATAAAGTGGAAAACCTTGGAAACGAAGTAGAGAAGTTTGCTAACAAAGTCAAAAACTTGGTAATGAAGAGCAGACCCAGGAAAGCTGCCTCCTCACCTGAAGGGGCTGCTGGAAGGCACGAGGAGCCCTGACTTCCCTGGGGTCACAGCCCCTTTCCCAGTAGAAATGGGGATGGAAACGCTGGAGGTTTCCCTCTCCTCAGGGACCAGGGTGATGATATCTTGCAAACATCAAACAGACGGGGGATGCGCTTAAGCTCAAGCCCAAATACGAAATAATCCCATTTCAGATTCTCAGGGCACGTTCTATCACGGAAAAAAAAGAGTTTTATTTAAAATAAGATATAAAAGAGCTCAGTCTCCTGTTTTGGCTCCTGGCTCTGGCAGCTTTCGCTGTGCCACAGCTCAACTCCCCCAGCCTTGGGTGCCAGGGTGCTGCTGTGCCGGGGGGCTGCTGCTCCAGGGTGCTGGTGGTGCTGGGATGACCTGGCAGCAGAGTGTGGGAGGGTGGTGGGCACATGGGCCAGTGGCACCAGTGGCACCAGCACTGGCACTGGCTGCCCCTGGGGGCTCCCCAGGACACAGGAGGGTGGGCCAGGGAACGGCTGCTTTCCCTGTGAGACGATCCCCTGTGGCACCTGGATGGGGTGAAAAACAACCCAAAGGGTGAAAACATGTTTTTAACCCCCCAAACTGCATGAGTTCAGCATGGATGAGGGAGGGACCCTCCTGTCCGGCCACCAGTGGGCACAAGGAAGCACAAAGAGGGTGGGATTTGAGGATCTTCCAGGTTTTTCCAACCTTAAGGACTCCAGGAATCAAAAAAGGCTCTGCTAGAGCTGCCCCCCTTAGGGTCTGAACCCCAGAAATGGGCCCAAGTACCCCCAAAATGCAAACCAGGGGGAGCTTGAAGATTGAACTAGATCAAAGTTCAAAGACTGGTCTCTCCGTCCCTGTTCCTCTTCCCCCTTCCCAGGTGAAAGAACTAAAGAAAAAGAAACAGAACTAAAACAATAGAATTAAAAGAAATAGAATTAAAAGAAATAGTATTAAGTGACATAGCAAAATTAAAATAAACGGGGATTTAAAATAAAAATAGAAATGGGGCTAAAAGAACTAAAAAATAAACCTAAGAAAGCAGAGCTTCAAACCGCAGAACTACAAAAGGGGAAGGTGCAGTGAATGTGGAGGTAGGTGCTGGTCCCTGACCCCCTTGGCCACTTGGCCGAGGGGCTGCACTTGCCTGCTGGAGGAACACGACCTGCTGCGCTGGCTGGGCCATCACCTGCTGTCCCCACACCTGGCTGGGCCCCACACCCAGCGTCCCACCGGGGCCCTGGAGGCTGGAGAAGGGCCCGAGGTGCTGCTGGAAGGGCTGGATGTTCCCCGTCTGGTGGGGGTGGCTGGCTTGGGGCTGCAGCCCCCGGACATCAGCGGGGCAGAGCTGCAGGGTGCTGCCCAAAGCCACCTGGGGCTGGAACCTGCCCAGGTCCTGCTTGGCCTCCGCCTCCAGCAGCTGCTCCGTGATGCCCGCTGCCCACAGGCACTGCTGGAGCAGGTCGCAGGGTGGCCCCACCACGGCGGCCCCGCTGTCCCACTGCCATGCCAGGCTGGCATCCTGCGGCACTGCCAGGCCCGTGCTGGCCGTGGGCTGGCTCAGCTCTGCACTCAGGAGGCTGCCGGAGGATTCCCAGAGCTGGGAAACAGATGAAAAACACGCTGAGGACGCTGAAAAACAACGGGAGCGAAAGGAAAGGC